CAATTTGTTTGTCTTGAGGTAATTTAAATAATGCCTTAAAAGATTAAAATTGTTAACTTTGGTTTTATTAAATTTAAATGATGGTAAAAAAGAATATTTAATTTAATAGGAAAATTTTAATTTTAAATGCATAGTATTTTAAAATATCCAAACAATGAATTTAAAAATACATGTATTTGAAAATCATTTTTCTTATTTCAATCCAAACAATGTATTTTAAAATACATGTATTTCAAATACATGTATTTTAAATATACAGTCTAAATACAAATACATGTTTCCAAACACAACTTAAAAGTTTTCAAAATTTGTGAACCGGATGGTTCATCGGTTCAGAAGCCAACGGGTTTGACTGGGTTTTTCAAGCTTTGATTAGATTTGACTAACTTTGATTGGGTCTTATTACAAACCAAGTTTATGTTATAATTCGAATCGATTCCGTAACCAGTTTCGGTTCAATTGATCAAACCAATTGGTTCGATTCAGGTTTTTAAATAGTGATCCAAACAAAGGAATAGAAGATTGGGTGCAGGTTAGTGATCTAGTAGTCAAAGGAAATGTTGCTTGGGATTGGACATTTGCTAAAGGATATTTAGAAGCAACGCTCAGAGGAAATGCTAAGAATTTTTGGGAAAGATATAAAGATGCACCAAACTTTGATGCTAGGACAAGAGAAAAGCTAGAATTAGCTTACTAGATGGCTAAAGAGTTAAAGAAAGAGTTCTGTGGAGAACAAGATATCGAAGCATTATTTGAAAAAAGCAAACGAGAAAAATTAATAAAGTTAAGAATATGTAAGATGGGTAGATATGATAAATATTATTTTGAATTTCAAAAGCATTACTATAATTTAAAAAAAAATTCAAAAACACCCTTTTGGATAGATTAGTTCTTTCAGAAGTTACCAAACCCATAGAACAAATTGATAATGGGGATATAAAAAATATTTAAAAGACATCGATGAGGGAGTAGACACGTTAGGGTTAAGAGCATGGTTTGTTAAAAAGATACTTAGAGAATATTGCACAAACACCTTAGCAATAAGAGATTCTAAGAAGAGGACTAAAAGATAGTATGGATAAAAATAGTTGTTGATATCTAATAGACATGCCTGGGTAGTATGGTTGTGAAATTAAAAAGAAGAAAAATAAATTTAAAAAATATTTTAAAAAAGTAGATAAATTTAAAAGAAATAAAAGGAATTTCAAAAAGGGAAAATTCTTCAAAAAGAAAAATTCTTCAAAAAGAAAAAAATTAAAAAAGTTTAAAAATTATAAGAAGAATCCACCATGCCTATTGGGAAAACCAAAGTCAGAATGCACATGTTGGATATGCCAGGAAAAAGAACATATAGCACCTAACTACCCAATGAAGAATCCAAAAAAGAGATAAAGATAATAAGAGCATTTGAAGTGTTGGATTCAGAAGTAAAAATAATATTTGGAAGTGAGTTAGGAGGTGAAATATCAGATAGTGAAAGTATTTATGAATGGAATGAATCTAGTAATGAGTCTGAAGATGAGTCTGAAGAGGAAGTCATAGGAATGATGAAAGAAGCATTAACATCAATAACCTCTAAAACTACTTATTAAGAACCTTATATGAATCTCATGAAAGCATGGAAACTGAAGAAGAAATTGATGGGGAAGCCACTGCATGGAAGTTACCCAAAAAAGACAAGAAAGAGGTATATAAGGGAAGTAAATAGAGCCTCAATATAGATAGTTTTGAGGGAGTAACAAGGGTAGAGCGAACTAAGGAAGGAAGTGTAATGATTCCGTTATTAGATCCTAAAAAGATAGAGAAGTATAGAAATAAGTACAACTTTTCTTATATAGGATTAATCCAAATAGGGGTATGTCCTTTGTTTAGAAGAAGAATTGATACTCTAATATTGGTATGCATATTAGACTGTCAACATTTGAACCTAAAAGATGCATTAATAGGAGGCATACATTCTAATTTATATAATGGACCTATCATGTTCGATGTTTACCTAGACTATTATGTAAGTTTAGGAGATAAAAACCTACATAAGAGTCTAACTAAAAAAATCCTAACAAAAAATATTAATATGCTAAAAGGTAGCCATAACTTATCACTACATTATAGAATAATGTATAGACTAGTTAACACTACAAAACCAAAGTTTAGAAGAGAGCCTACAGATGCCATTCTATGGGAAAGTAAGATTCCTCATGCACAAAGACTAGTGCCTAAAACATTAGCATGGAAATATCTCACTATCCCAACCAAATGGTTACTAGAAGGCAAACCTAGAGCCTCAACTTCAAGACCAAATAGAGAACTAGAATTAGCTACTAAAAAAGATGGACAAGTGATAGTAATAAATCCAGAAGAAGAAATAAAGGATACTAAAATACTAGGAAATAAGGAAGTTAAGCTACTTATAAGAGAAGGGATATCTATGGTTTAAGAATATGACTTGATGCTAGAGTGGTTAAGAAAAAGAAATCCTCACAATCAAGCCTGGTTAACGGAGTCGCATTTAAGAAAGCAACAACAAGCACAACTAAAATGCATTTATGAATGCTAGGGTGAAGAAACAAAAAGGATGAAAGAACCCATAAATTCAATCAAGATGTCTAAGAATAGTTCATATATAAAACTTAAGTTTGAACCTAATGGGTATCACCTATAAACGATAGATACGTTAGTAGATACAAGAGCTGCTCATACATTAGCTAAGCCAAATGTTCTTCTAGAAGATCATTGGGTCAAAGTTCATGCAAAAAGGCTAGTAACAACAAATGGATAGATGGTAGAACTTAATTATTTAGCTATAAATGTTCCAATATACTTAGAAGAACAAGTATTTGTCATAGAACAAATATGGCAACTGCCAGAATTAGATGGAGATATAGTATTAGGAAATAATTTTCTAAAACAAAGGATATGCCTTCCATTTGTGCAACATGCAGATTATATCCAGTTAGGGACACCACCTATTAGTACAAAGTTATTAAGAGAAGCTAGACAAAAATGTACTTTAGGCTTTCAACCACAAAAATTATTAGACCAACCAAAAAAATATAATACCTTTACCTATGAAGAACATGTCAGAGTATGTGCTTATAAATTGTGGTAATACAATTATAGTTAGTGATAAGGAAGAAGAGGATGTAAGTTGGATGGTAGAAATTAATGAGCATTATGTGCAACAAAACCTTAAAGCTAGTAGAGATAGGATGCCAAGTCTAGAGGAAATATTTGGAAAGATTAAAGAAAATTTCAGTAAAGATCCTTTAAAGCTATGGGACAGAGATAACATAATGGTAAAAATAGAATTAGTAGATCCAAAAAAGATTATTAGGATGAAACCAATGACATATCGACTAGATGATGTTAAGGAATTCAAGCAGCAAATAGACGAACTTTTAAAGAAAAGTTTAATACAACCTTATACTTCGCCCCATAGTTCACTCGTCTTTATGGTTAGAAATCATGCAGAAATAAGAAGAGGAAAAGTTAGAATGGTAATAAATTATAAAGCCTTAAACCAAGTTACTAAATTTGATGGATATTTTCTACCCAACAAAGAAGTACTATTGAATAATATTCAAGGAGTCAATATATTTAGCAAGTTTGATTGTAAGTCAGGATATTGGCAAATAAAGATGGCAGAAGAATCAATTCCTTTAATAGCCTTTAGTGCAGCCCAAGGACATTATAAGTGGAGAGTAATGCCATTTGGGTTATGCTGTGCCCCACAAATATTCCAAAGAAGGATGGACAATATCTTTAGAGAATTTATAGACTTTTGTGTGGTTTACATAGATGATATATTAGTATTTAGTAAATCCAAGAATGATCATTGAAGGCATTTAATGATGGTAGTAAAGCTCAAAGATCATGGAATAATTCTATCAGAAAAGAAGATGGAGTTAGAAAAGTCCACAAGAGAATTCTTAGGCTTAACCTTAGAATAAGGAAAAGTAGAACTTTAGCCTCATATATTAGAAAAGATTCATCAATTGCCTGATCGAATAAAAGATAAAAATTAGCTACAAAGAATGCCATGAGGCTTAACTTATGGAGAGAAATATATAAAAAATCTAGCAAATTTGAGGAGTTCATTACAAGAGAAATTAAAGAAAGACCATGAGTGGAAGTGGACTGTTGATGATACAAACTTGATAAAAGAAATTAAAAACAAGA